GAGGGTTCTAGAGGGGAGGGGGGTGGGAGGATGGGTTAGCCTGGTGATGGGTATTGAGGAGGGCACGTTCTGCATGGAGCACTGGGTGTTATGCACAAACGATGAATCATGGAACACTACATCTAAAACTAATGATGTAATGTATGGGGATTAACATAACAATAAAAAAATTTAAAAAAAAAAGAATGAGGATAAACATCCAAGCCCATTTCATCATACTCATCTGTGAATTTCCCCAGAACAGTTCTTCCCCCTCAAAGACTTCATAGAAATACAATTGTAATAGCTGAACAAAAATCTTATTTCATAATGATAGGAAAACACAAAACTAAGGGAATTTTAAGTCTATGTTGAATTGCTTTTTCTGTGTCATCCTAAGATTGTCAAGGATTTCATACCATAATATTTGTATCTTATAAGTAAGGTCTCATTTGACAAGCAAAGAAAAGTGAGATTTCCCCCAAGATTGTTGGAAAGCTCAGGATTTTTGCAATACAAGAAGAAGACAGTTGTTGTGCATGCAAATGGGGATGTTGGAATGGAAGCTGTGACGTCATGTGGCAGAGTGAAGCCACTATCTCCTCCTTTCCCATAGGGGACACACTGGGCTCTGCCATGATGTGAGTGTTTGAGAGTTCCCTTCCCTTTGGGTGGCTGAGGAGCAGAGGGCTCTTTGTACCAAACTGAATGGCCCCCACAGGGCCATGACTTTTGCCTCATGCTCCCTGGGCTCCGACGCAAGCAAGCAGCCTGGCCCAGAGCAGTAACTATCCAGATCCCGGTTCTGTCATCAGTCTGAATAAGGGCAATTGCTACCTCTTCTGACCCCCAGAGACATGGGGCAAGAGGAATCCAGGTCAGGCCTGCTCTGAGCAAACACCTTGTCTAAAAGGGCTGAGGGTGTAGGATGCTGCCGGGCAAGGGACCAGCTTTTAAAGGAGGGTGTTTAGCAGCATCCCTGGCTGTTATCCACCAGAGGCTACTAGTACTACCTCCCCCCTCTCCCCCGCCACCAAGTTGTGACAATCAAGAACCTCTCCATTCATTGCCAAATGTCCCCTGGGGGTTACAATAGCCCCCAGCAGAGAAGCACTGCCCTAGTTGTTCTTGTCAGAGAGGCTGGGGAGAAAGGAGGCCAGGAGAAAAAGGGGAAGATGAACACAAAGATACCATGTCACATAGCACAGTTATTCAAGAAGCTTCCAGCTCTACCTTGCCACTTCTCATTTTGCCACTCCAGTTATTCTCTGTCTAAAGATCTAGTAGCCCTGAGAGAGATGAAGAGGATTCTGGATCGTTAGAGCAGACTGTTGTGCAACCCAGGCAGGAGGACAGATGCGTCTTCCAGAGGAAGGATGCAAAAACGAGCTCTGAATCATCAGGAAAATCCTGTCAGATTGGAAAAGGTTTGTGACTAAGCCAAAATTTCCCTTTCTTCTCTTTTGGTCCTTCATGACTTGCTGAGCAGTGAGGAATACTCCAGTTCTCTTTGGCTCCCAGTCACAGGTGACATCACATGAACAGATTTCTTCTAGAAGTCCCAGAGAACTTTCCATGAAGCATGAAGCCTCTGGATGCTATAGATGGAGGTGTAAGGTAAACTGAGCTGAGCTATGTATTCAAGTCACAGACCTAACTCTCCATGTTTAGTCCTGGGCAATAGGACTTTCAGATCTCAGGCACATATGATGTATGATTTCCCCTATCCCCACTCTTTAAATTGTAAGACCCTATACCCCAGGAATAAGGCCAGATGCTACCTGGAAAGGCATCCATTTGCAAGTGAGGATGCTATAGTCCATCTCTCCTCTGTAATGCCTTGTAGAAAGCAGAGCAGAAACAGGTTGCCAATGGCCTTTTCTTCTGTCCCCTCCCCACTTTGCAATGTCTACATTATACTTAGCATGACATCAGTGGCTTCCATCTTGGTGTGAGAGCATACAGATCTTTAGGATCCAAGGAAGGAACCCCATGATCAAGGTTAAGTCTTTCTACCTGATCATTTTCTGTCATTGATGGGGGTGTCCATACTTGGCTTAGCAGAATTGCCAAAGAAGGTTCTTTCTCTGGGTGTATATTTTCTGGGGCAAGTGGTTTCCAAGAGCAGCTAAATTAGGCCTGGCCCAAGCCCTCTCAGACAAGTTTTCAGGGTCAACAGGAGCAACTGTTCTCTTCCCACTCCTGGGGACCTTTAAAAGAGAGCTCAGGATGCTCAATCACATAACCAGCCTTGTAAGAGGGAGAAGAATAGAGGCAAAAACAATGCTGATCTTTGAACACTACCTAATTCCTCATGAAAAATATCTTAAGAGCATCAGTTCCAGGCAATGATGGCAAAGCTCCCTCAGTGGGGAATGGTTTTCCAAAGGAAAACTGCGTTCCCTACAAAATAAAGGCTAGCTTTAAATTCATCACAGCTGGTGTTTAACGAAAAAAAAAAAAAAGCTAATTTTCCCTTCCATTTAACTAACATGTTTTCCTTCAGCACCTGAAAAATTGTGTTGTATCTTTAAAAGCATAAAATATAATAGCAGACCTGAGCTTGTAGGTAAAGCTCCTTAATTTAAGCCCTACCCTTGAGGCCACTGTTGCTTGCTTATAATTTCTGCTTTCCACCTGTTCTTTATTTTCTCTCTCCCTCATCATCCGCTTGTCTCTAGGTTTGCTGAAGGGACATCTCAACGTGGCCTTTGCTAGGCCTGACATAATGGCAGGTGTGGCTGTGGCCTCCTCAGCAGGGCCAGTCTCAGTGTACTGAGGGCCCGCCCCATTCTGATGACCCTCTCCTGCCACTGATTAGGTGACAGTCTGCACACCAGGTTTATTTTCCTTGGGTCAGTGACTCTCTCTCCCTACTGCCTTTCTAACTTCTATTTCTTCTCTGCGTCAAAACCAAGGTCACATACAGATCCGGAACCAAGGGCAAGGCTTTTTTTGTGTGTCAGATTGATTCTCTTGGCTGGAAGAGGTGTAAATAATGGAGCTTAGAATCCAATGGCTGGTGATAAAAGGCAGGATGAAGAGACTGAATGGCATGATAAAGAAGAGAAGGCAAAAGAAACCTTTGGAAGGAATCAGCACCCTCTGTTTCAGCTTTAAGAAAGGTTTCCCAAGTCACTCTCTGCCCTCCTTGAAATTAAAGTCAATCAGCTTCTCTGGTTGTTATTTGAAAGGGACAGAGTACATAGGCTCAATTACGTAGATCTGCCTCATAATGCCTCCTGAAACAGAGAAGGCTTTATTAAATGAGGCTACCCTTTCACTAATTGTGGGAAGAGTTTCAGAGAGTGAATTCCCTTATGAGGAATCTTTATTCCTGTGTTCCACATGATCCATACATCTTCTGTGTAGGATCACAGTAGAAGGGTTGGGTAAATATCCACCCCTGTTTATCCTTTTTCTGAACACCAATAACTATTGGTCAAGTATGGGGAGTTGGCTTGGAAGCATGGTCAATGGTCATGTATTAGCACGCTCATTCTTTTGATCAACATAACCTATTTAACATAAGCAGAAACACTGACTAGATACTTAATCGCTCCTATGTTCATAATGAGGCACTGTGTATCAGAAGAAAAAACACAAAGAAAGGTTGAAATATCATATACCAGGAGAAAATATCCCATCGCCAGAGCCCCCTGGCCAGCCAATGATTTCTCTCATTTTCTTTAGCGTGACATATTCCAAGAGCACAAATACTGGAGCAATTTCATAGGTGAACCTGAAATGTAGTAATGGCCACATTTTATGTATGTAACTCGAAGAAATAATTCATCATTACAACATCTATAGAACTATTGTATGTCCCTCTTCAAGCCCTACATTCACAAAGGTTTTGATTTTTCTATTGAACAGAGAGAAAATTATGTCTTCTTAAAGGTTGCCCATTTTTCTATATTCCTAAAGTTAAGAGCTTAATGCCCAAGGGTCATTTATCATATTGAATAAATAAAGAACACTGCAGAGTAATACTATTTAAAAGATATCATCTGGTCCCATTTCTTGTTCACTTTATACATAATTATAAATCCAAAATGCCAAAAAAGTGCCTTTTGTGTTTGAAAAATGTTATATAGCTTTGATTGCATGAAAGATAGATCAGGACTCTTTTCTTTTAAGTTAGAGTGAGCACCCGTATACTTCTGAAGTTTGTATCACTATGTTAGGGACTACTTAATTAAAAAGAGATTTTCACATGAGAGGTAGAATAAAGACTATGAAATCTCACTAATAATTATCCTGGATTTAAAAAAAAACACCACATTTAACGACTTACATGTTGGTGTTTGCTGTTGATGTCAGCCAGTCTGCTGCTAATCCAACCATATCCAGTCCAGTGGAAAGTTGATTGAAATATCTGGGATGCCCTGAATAAAATGGAATATGAGAATCAAGACTGCATCCAGTGAAAATAAATGCCTCTCAAACACATGATTGCTCTAGCTAAAGACCTTGAAAGATCCTTCAGTAATAGGAAATCCATATTCAGAAACCCAACATGTGCATGCATGCATGTGCACACGCAGACACATCCAAAAGGAGCATTTCATCTAACAAGAGAGACTATTTGGGGTTTTGGTATTTCTTAAAACACACTCTAAAAAAGCTTCCTCTAAACATTATCCGATATAAAAAAAAAATAACAAGTGTGGTTTGCAATGTGGATGCTAGTTTATTTCCTAGCATCCCTTCAATACATTTGTAAACTAAAATACTCGTGTAATCCAAAGCTATTCTTGTTTACACTCATGCTGCTAAAAATCCTTTTTTGTTGAAGTTGTTCTGGGAATCAGTCATATCATGACATCCACCAGGCATGCCAACATGCCAACATTCATAATGATATCAGTGACAAATGATTGATGATTACAAAAGACAACACAAAAATGAGAAAATAGGACACTTTGTTGAGTGATTTGCCCTGGATTCAAAAGGTGATGATCGTCGAAAGAGGGCATGGGCAAATTCAATTCTTGTCGATTCTTTTCTGTCCAAATACTTGATTATAAACAACAGAACTCCTCATAGTTGTGATTTGAAGTAAAGAGGGATACGGTCAACATCACTGCCCCATCAACAAGATACATGAAGATATATTCAATGGGCTGATGAGTCCATTAGCAAGGCTTATCTAATTAACTTCTAGATTTCTCTAAAACTCTCCAAAGGAGCTGACATCCAAATACTCCTGAGGCTATTATTTAAAATGTGATTGTAAATATCTCATTAGAATTCCATTCCTTGTCTTGCCCCATAAAAGCCTATCTCTAAATCTGTGATTTGCTTGGCAGCAAAAATTTTGGAAGATTATCAATTATGGAAATAGCATCTGATAAAAAGGCAGCCCCTACTTATTGGACACCTGTCTGAAGCCTGGGGTGACGGTCTCTCAGGCCAGCACAGGCAAAACAAGATAAAGGAAGGCAATGGGGAAAACAGGGACAAAAGTCAACACAGAGCTTATCTCTAGGACTAGAGTGCTCTCTTATCAGCCTTGGGCATGTGGTTAGACATTTAGACACCGGGAAAAGATAGGAGCTGGGAAAGGGCACATTTCAAAGACACTGGGATTTGTGTGGCTCTCGCTCATGCTCCGGCATTGTTTTGCTTCCCTGTGGCTGTGCACAGTGCCCTTCTACCTTTTCGCTCTTTACCAGGCCCTCTGATGCTGACCCTGTCAGTTTATGCATCCAGGCAAAATGAGAAAGCCCCTTTGCTGCTGCCGCCTGGGCCACGGTCTGGAACAGCCCTCCCCTGTCTCTGCCTCATTGACTCCCCATTTCATTAGAGCTCACAGCTGAAATCACAGCCGCCTCTCCCTCCTGATTCCCCTTCATTTCTCTTTCCCTAAGCCATTTCCTTAAAGTGAGGAAATTAATAAAGATTAGCAAATCAATCCATTAATCTACTCTCCCAATTCATATGCATTTTCTGGATGAATCTGGCGTCTATTATCACACACTATTTAACTCTCTGGAAACTTTGGCATGAAAAACCTCTGCATAAAAAATTGAGAGAAATTCCAAGGCCTGTGTCTGGCCCCAGGATATCAAAAGGCCAATCCATCCTGCCCACTGCCTTTGGAAAACTGGGAAGCAAATTTGAGGCTTCAATGGCTTGACTCACTTTTCTTTCTTTCTTTCTTTTTTTTTTTTTTACCTTGGTCGCCCATGGCACCTGAATGTCTCGTGCCTCAAAATTTTCATTCACTGATGGTGATGTGATAAAAATGGAAGGAGATAGTTTGACAGGTTAGAGCAACATGTCCTCTTGATTTCTGCAGAAGTGGGCTGCAGAAATATTCTATTTGCTCCCTTCCCGTGACCCCCCCGCAGGCTGCCGGCGAATCCAGGCAAGGCTCTCCGAGAGAAAGGGTGGGAGAGACCTGCCTTGGAGGCTCCCAGCTGTCCCAGCCGGCCTGGGCATCCAGCTGCCGCCGCCGCCCCCACCAGGCCCGGGAATAGGCGGCCACGCGCAGCCGGGCAGACAGTGAGGAGGAAACGTGAGATTAGAGCCGCTCACGCCTCTGGAACGCTCCCCACTGATTAGCAAATGAGCCAGGAAGGATGCCCAGGCTCGGCCAACGACCAGCCCCGGGCGGCCTTGACCCCCTTGTCCACCATCAGTTGGGGAGGGCCCCAAAGTCGGTCCAAACTGCTCTCCGTGTAGCCGCAGCACGCACCCAAGGACGGCCTCATCTATCAATGCTTCCATTTCTTTGTCTGATGGCTCCGTTAAAAGACTCATTAACCCCTGCACTCCCCAAACACCATCACTACCACCAAGTCCAATGATCCCCGAAAATGTTATTTATTCTAAAATACTATCATTCTCTGCAGTTTTCAGTTTTCTGTTCCAACAGTTCTTACAGACGTAATTTTAACAATACAGAACGACTTCCACTTGCAAGTATTTAACCCACTGCCCCTCACTCCTCTCTAAGCTTGGAGCCCAAGTGAAAATTAGATTAAGGACTCTCAGTAGAAAGCAGGTGCTAACATATTTTATAAAAGCATCTCCCTAGGAGAACTAAAATGTCTAATGGTCACAGAGATGGTAACTACTTTACAGACCCTAAATAGTACTAGTCGTCAAATACCAGTTATAGCATAAAAACCTGTAAACTTGCTAGTCAAAAAGAGGTGACCGGTGTTACTTCTTTGAACTGCTATTTAGGGGTGGAATGGGGAAGACCAGAAGACTACATGTGTTATGAATAATACTGATATTGATGCTTGGAAATCCAACGTAATCCTATTTTCTCCTGAACTTTAAATAAAATGCATTAGAACTACATTTGACCAAAATCTCACAAGCATTATGGCAAAGTCTAAGAATTGAATTGCCCCATCTTCTCCTAACACTAAAGGAAGCATTGATAGACAGAACTATGACTTTCATTGACTTGCAATTCTCATTATCTTAACTCTTTAAATTACATGTCAGACATCACCAGCTTTTAAGGATGAAGATGTAAAACATTTTTATAGGTTCTTTCCAGTTTGGTAGCAATAAAAATAATAGGTAGCAACCTACTATTATTACATTTAAATATTAGGTTAGGGGAATGGATCAAACAAAAATGAATTAAAAACACTATTCAGGTTTGCCCCCACAGATACATCAAAAGCTGGAAGAACATCTTTAATGCCTAGTATATACATCATGTGGATTCTCTGTGAACATGATTGAGAATGATAGCTAATAAGCCTTCAAAATTCATATTCCACAGACCAAGTGTGGTCAAAATCACCAAGTTAAACTCCTTTCCCTATGCACCTAGTTTTAAGTCTATAGTCTCACAAAAGTGGATACTAATAATGCAGCAGATCCATTTCCTTAGGCTTCTTCTCTGCATACTTTTCCTCTCTGTTGGTATAACGAATGGAAAAACAAAACCAAAAGTAGTAGCTAAAAGTCACACAGCAAACATTCTTAAAATGCTTGTGGTTGATTAGAGCAATATGATAATTCATTAACCAAAGAAATGGCAACATAAAAAATCAAGTTCCTATGGTAATTAATATTCATGTGACATTTTTAGTTGCTAGCGGATCTTTTTTAAGGCTACAAATCAATTTAGATCCACAAGGTCTTCTATTCCTCATGAAATTCATTCATACCTATTTTTATTGCTTTAATGAAGTGTAGTGGATCATGCATCAGCATGATTAGAGACAATGCAGGAAAAGAAGCAGTAATCATGACCTGGGGAGATAAATAGCTGATTTTGTGTAGATAAAATGAAAGCTTACAATGTGCCCAAATAAATGTTACTAATAAATAAATACTATAAATAAATAAATAAACAGCGTATGAAGACAACTGTGAAAAAAAGCAATAGATACAAAATACATTTTAAAATAAGGATATTTCATTCCCCTCCCCCACCCATTTTCTTTATTTTATATTCAGAATGGCTATGAAGCACACACATCCTTGTATATAACACCGCTGAATTGTTAAGCTAGTTTGTATTGTGTTTTCTTTTGTGGACATTTCTTTAAAAAAAGAGAAAACCTGGGGCTAGAATCTGAAGTCCTGGCCATTTGAGACAATGCCAAAATATTATCCCTCTGTTGCAATGATTACATAGGATGGTTTATCCAATGTCTGACCATTCCTATGCCAAAGAAATGACTAGCACTACACTAGTATTGGGCTCTTGTTTGGATCATGCCTTTTGAGGTTTCATTTCCATATTCCCTTCCTTTCTCCATTTTGGGTCACTTCTACTGGCCTCTGCTGACAAATGGTTGCTTCTACATCAGTGGTTAATCTCTGTGGCCAAATACGTGCAGTGTAAAATCTGATGATTTATACTTAATGCGTTTATAATGTTTCTGATATCAACTTCAGAAGCATGACCATTAATAGTAAAGGGTGACTTTGCTTCATATCATTCTAATAATGACTTCTTTTAATTGATGAAAATAACTCTGTTAATTTGAAAATACCAGTAACTCCATAAACAGAAAACATTTTTATATAAAAAATAAAAATTGTAAAAGGAAAAAAGAGCTTTATTATTTTTGACTGGACAATACCTGTTTTAATTGCATACTTTAGAGTCGTTTGGCAATGCATCAAAATTTCCTCCAAATTTTGTGGTTGGTCTGCCAATTCCCAGTTATACTCTTGAAGGAGCTCATTAGGGTAATGGAAATCAATCACTTTGGTTGATCTATCGAAACTTTTCACCACATACTGAAGCAAAATGTCCATAACATCTTGCAGAAATGCCAAAGTGGGCCTTTCTCCATCACACGCTGGCAGCAGGTCTAAAGAATGGAATCAAAATGCCACATTTTAATTTTACTGTGGAAATATCCAGGCAAGATCTTGATTTGGCAATTTTTCTTTGGACTGAGAGATTTTGTGCTTAAAAAAAAAATCTGGAAACGCAGAGCATTTTCTTTAAATGGGAGGTATTTTTCAAAGACAAAGGAAAAAGAGAAATTGAGATTTCTTCCCCACCCCAAGTTAATTCTTTGCATTTCAATCCATAAGGTATTGTTTGCTTCCTTTTTTAAAAGGAGTGTGCCTCCATTCATCTGTTTCACCGGGGTCCGTCCTAAATGTTATATCTCAGTAAATCATCTTAAATGATTATGGAAATACGTCACATCGGAATGTTTGAGGAATGCCTTTGGGCAAATCAGGCAAAGTGGAGCATGCAATGTTAGGATCCCTGACCCATTAAGATGGCTCGCTGTTTCCTAAGTCAGTGTGTGTGTGTGTGTGTGTGTGTGTGTGCGCGCGCGCGCGCGCGCGCGCGCGCGTTTAGGTGATTGGGTGTGTAAACACAAGGGAGTAAAAACGCCCGCAGGTCTCACGTGAATAGAATAGTTCCCCTGTGAAACTGCAGCTATGAATTACTCTTGCGATCTAAAGACCTAGAAAGTCTCATCAACCAAGTCCCACCCGTTTCAGCGGCCACCAAGAAGCCGACCTCGAGGTCCAGCGCGCGCGGGGACCTCCGCCAACCGCAGACCCGCGGGCGGCACTGGGGCAAGAGAGCCGCGGCCCGAGAGTCTCCTTGGAACGCCCGCGCCCAGCGCTGCGCAGAGGCCGGGTTGGGGCTCAGACGGAAGGGACAGGCCCAGTGTTTCTCGCTTTCAGCTGAAGATTCACGTAAGGTCCGCCTCCGCCCTGCTTCTCCACGACTCGGGTCAGGCCCCTGTCATCGAGTCCCTTCTGGTTGCGGTGGGTGGGACAGTGCGAGGGACAGTGGCTCCCGGGGACCCCACGGGGCGCCTTTACCTGTTGCATGTAGAAACGCATAGTTGACATCCGCTTTGGGGCAGCTGCAAGGCTTCTGATTACAAGCGCAGGCAGCCTTCCGGGAGGTGGCCCGCGGGGGCTCGCTCTCGCCACTCTCCGCCGGCTTCTCGGCGTCTCCGTAGAGCAGGGCTAGGCAAGCACATCGAGAGCGCTGGTCAGCCGCCCGCCGGTCCCAGCTCCCTCGCGCCTGCCCATCCCCGGCCAAGCAACCTCAACTCCGCTGTTGGGGATGAGGAGGTGAGAAGGCCACACTGCCCCCTCGGGACACAGAGGCGACTGACTGGCCGTTTTCGACTCCCTCCCCCGGCACGGGCTGGGCACTCACCGCACAGCTTGTTTCCGATGCCTCCCGTGAACTTCTGGGCCACCTGACACCAGGCTCTCGCTGCAAGAAAAGACAGGTAGGCGTACAGCGAGGCAGAAAGAGAAAGCAGACGACGTGTGAAGTTTCGTTCTACGGGAACAAACGCACTAAACCCGAGGTTCAGAAAGAGGCCGTCCTGGGCTCCGCACAAAGGACAGGTGCAGGAGGGTCACGGGAGCCAGGCGGCCCGGCCCAGCCCAGCCCGACCTTACGTTCCCTGATTTCTTTCCAAGAGCTCAGAGACTCCAGCCCTCTCCACTTGCCTTCCAGGTGCCAGTAGGTTCAGGCAAACTCCCCTTCCTGCCTTGCTCCAGCGAGTTTTCCTAGATACCGAAGCTGTCCATTTTCCTCGCAGCCTCTCCTTCCAGACCAAGAATTCTATCTCTTCCATTTTTTCCCTTTCCCCACAGCCACTCTATCCCTCTACAGGGTCCAGACACCAAGATGGTGGCAGTGCTCCAGGCCCACGGAATTCGGTGTCGAGGAGACGCCTCTGCGTTTGGGGGCTCTCCCAGACTTCATTGAAAAGGGTCTGAGATTCTTTGGGTGTCTTTCCAAGGGATAAGGGCCTGTGAGGTTTTGGTCTCTTGGGCCATCAGGGACCTACAGCGAGAGCAGGGCGAAGTGTCCGAAGTTTCCTGTTGCAGGTGGAAAAACCTCCTTCGTCTTCCTTAGCACTGCAAACCCCATTCCACCCGCAAAGCTCGCCTGCTGCAGGCCCCTGTTCCCCTACCTGTGCCGGGGTTCTCGGGATCCCCGGAGCCATCTTCAGACCCGAAGGACCAAAAGCCGGAGCCTGGAGATGCCATCAGCGCTGCGAGACTGGAGCGGGTCGCCTCCAAGTGCGAACTGTCGGCGAGCTGCCCTCTGCTCGGCTCTGCGCGCGCCTGCGTGCGTGTGTGAGTGTGGCGGGAGGAGGGCACGGCGCGGGGACCGCGCGGCCGTGCGGCAGAGGGTGGGTGTCACACAGCGACAGGAAACGTGCGTGTCTGCGTGTGAATGCGTGTGTGTGTTGGGGTTAGGGCTTAGAGACGTGGCAACTCTCTCGGAAGGCTGAGGTTAAATAGGGAAGGAGACCGAAGGGTCCGCGGAGCAGGGGTATGGGAAAGCGCCGAGCACCCGAACTGCTTTTGAAGGAGAAGGAGTCCAATCCGGATGGATGAGGGGGCGGCGGAGAGAAAAAATGGGAGAGGGAGGATGCGAGGCAGACAGCGCTCACGAGCTGGAGTCAGAGCGTGTGGGTGGGAGGCGTGCAGGGGAGCCCCCGGGGAGCGCTAGCCGCTAGCCCGCAAACAGCCCCGGCGGGCTCGGGTGCGCTGTCCCGAGTGCTAACGCTGCTGACTGCGCGCCGGCTTCAGCTAGGGGTAGACCGGAGAGACCTTGGCGAGGCGGAGCGGGTGGCCGGAACGGGTCTCATACAGGCATCGATTGGCGTATTGTTTGAGGTCTGGCTCCTGCTGCCGGGAAGGCGGCGCGGAAATCGCGCCGCCTTCCTCCAAGACGGTGCTGAGGTCGCTGTGACCTCGAGAGCCCCGGCGGCTGGGCTGGAATCACAAGCGGTTCGTGAGCTTGGGGTGGGGACGGTGGGGGCAGGGCGCCTACGCGCTTAAGGGCTCATTTCAGCTCCTTAGTAGAGCCTGACGCCTTCCTACCGAGCCGCGCGGTGCTCGGGAGCGCGTCATTCCTGTGCTTCGGGGAGCGCGGTCGCTGAACCCACCGTCCAGGATCTGACTGACGGGACTGACGGCTGGGAGAAAGACTGCTGATTGAGAGGCAATTAAAATCCACGCAGGAGCCTATCACCGAGGACCTCGGGCTGGGGAAAAAAATAAAACGAATGGAAACTTCTTGGGGAGGGGGGCGAGGGAGAGCAACTAGAATCAGCAGGCAGGATTGACGGCTCATGGGGGATGGGATCGGGTCATTCAGCGACCTTGGCCCGCGGAGGCGTGGAAGGGTTTGCTGCTTTCGTGTGACCTGAATCGATGTGTGCGTGGGAGGCGTGCACAGAGTTTCCAGCTAAGCAATCTGAGCTTTCCAAATTCAAGGCGGAAAGAAGGCATCGCCTGCTGGGCCCCTCGAGTCAGTAGGCCTCAAATCAATGGTCTCCTCCCCCCCGGACCCTCCCTATCCCCGAGAATCTTCACGATAGCGGGGGGAGGGTGGTGGGGCCGGCGAGATTCACTATTTCTGAGGCCTGGTGGGAAGGGGTTTCTTCTTTTCTGAGAAAGTCAGCATCTCTACTCTCTTACAATATCCTGTACGTTAAAAGCTGTTAAACAAAGGGAACACGCCCTGAGATTTTCGGGCTCCGTTGAGTTCGCGTTGCTTTCCCTTAGTAGCGGAGATCAGCGTCACGTACACCTTGCGGCTCCTGGGCTCTCAGAGAGAGAGGCTGAGGAAGACCCTGGTGGGGAAAGGCTGCGTCCTGCTTCCGCCGCGTGCATTCCCTCGAGCGAGCGTTTTTCATTTCCACTCTGTTCACAAGCCCTCATTTCTTTGCCCTCCTGAATCAAGTCACCAAAGTTGCTGTCAAAGCAGAGACTCACGGATCTTCAGTCTTGGCCACCGCCCGTGGATCCTCGCTTAGGAAGGGCGTCGTGGGGCCTCGGTGGCGCATCAAGCCCAATTCCTATGTTCCCAAACACGCGGGGGCCTGGTAAAGTCTCTCCACGAAGCTTTGTCTTCTTCCGTGCCCGAGCTGGGAGTCGTGTCGGGGAAGGGCGCTGGCCAAGGTCCTGCCGTAGACTTGGCGCAAAGCCGGCTGCGTCGAGAAGCCTGCATCGGGCTGCGGGCGCTTGGTGGGCACGGACCCAGGCCTCAGTGTAGCCACCTTCTCCGGCGCTCTTGGCTTCAGGTTACAACGCCTGGGTGTGAAGATTTCGTGGTTGGGCCGTCTGCTCGCGGGCAGGGCAGCTCCGCCGCTCTTGCTCCATCAGTACAGATCCGAGTCAGAGAGATCAGTTCTTTGTTTAAATCCACCTCAAATCCTGCTAAATGTTTTGCTTCGACTCAGCAGGATGGGGTTGCAGAACTTTTCTGCAATGAGTAAGTGGTCGAAGACATAAAAATTCTTTAAAACGAGCGTTTAAAACACACTCACAATTCCCCGAAGGAAGAAACAGATTAAAACACAGGGAAGGTAGAAACCACACACCTGGATTTAACATAATAATTTTTTTAAACGCGACTTAAAATCCCACTGTTCAAACTCGATTAAATCCCCGCAGCTCTGGAGTACTTTGAATCTAATGGTGGTATTTACATTTTTTATTTAACACACCCTACTTCTCAGCACTCAGGGATCTGATTTGTCTTTCCTTAATGTGGTCCCTCCCTAGACGGCAATTTGCTTTATAAAGACTTTGATTTGGAAAAAGAGCCCACTCCCCCCCCCACTCCTGGGCTTGGCGTAGGAGATAACAAAAGAGCTCAGGGCGGTAATAATTACAGTCATTAGTTCACAAAGGAGGCAGCCACCAAATGGGAAGGGGAGGTGGGCCAGTGCTCTGGGGAAAAGCTTTGGATGCCTCTTCCTCAATAGGGGGAGAGAGAGACCCATGCTCCAGTGGCTGCTCTCCTGGGCGGGTTTCCTGGGTTGACCTATTTCTTGTCTGTGGATTATCCAGAGATCGCATTGCAGGTCTCCCAAAAAAGAATGTCTGCCAAGAGTTTTCCCTTGTGTCTTCCCAGTGTTCAAATGTCGAAGGACAGAAAGAGGGAGATGGAAAGAGAGAAAGAAAAAGGAGAGAAAACAAAGAAATACAAAAGAAAAAAGGGAAATAAAAACACTGAAACCTTTCACCGAGCGTTTGTGATTTCCTTTTCCCGTCCCACTTAAAAAGGGGTGGAGAGTTTAGGGAGGGCACCTACTGCCTCCCAATCCAGCGACGGAAGGCCCGGGGTTGCCAGGAGCCACTTCGGAAGCTTGAAGAAGAGGCCTGGCCGCAATGCGGAGCTCAGCTTTTCCCCCCAGGGGGCCTCCGGGTGGTGGGTGGATGCTTGGTTTGGGGCATGGGGACTCGGGTTCCAGAATCTCTCGCCTCCTTGACAGTGCACCGTGCCCGCAGCGCTGGTTTCACTGGTGCCTGTGCTAGGCCCAGCCTGCAGCCCGTCACAACCGAGCTGTCGGTCCCCAAGAGGTGACCCCGAGCAGAGGCCGCAACGAGAACTCAGGGAAGGAGCAGCGCCTATAGCGCACACTTAAACTCTGAGCTCGGTCCTGCCACAGCGGGAGGTTCCCCCTCGAGCGGGTCTCATTTGTAAAATGAAGAGGTTGTACGTACAAGGCATCTCTGGGGGACCTTTCGGCGTCAACATTTTGGGTTGGAGAGCACCTTACATCTGGTGGGCGAGCGGCTCAACAGACATTCACCCGCCCTCACTCGATCCTCCAAAATCTCCCCGAAGTCTCCTGGCTTCGGGCCGCAGGTGCAACGTACACCACCAGGAGGGACAAGCCCCATCCCAAAACCCTTCTCCCAATTCTGTTGTCCGTGAAATCACCTCGCCGTCCTTCCTGACGCTCTTCAGACAGCGTAGACACAGACGGCGTCAGTTTCACAGAAGAGCTCAACCCAGGTTTTAAAATAAGATGCAGTCGACTGAGGAAGGCAAACCTCTGCCCACCCATTGCCCTCTCCTCTCTTAAATACGGCAAAATTCGGAGCCCAGGAGATTGCCTCAAATTTGCAGACTAGGAGAACCTAAAAAACCTGACAGTTTGCTCAGTGGCGGGGCTAGAGGTGTTTGTGCGCGCGCGCAGGGTCGGGGGTGGGGGGATTTGGGAATTTGTCCCGAGGCCATGATTGGGTCGCAAGACCTGGGTATGTTTGGGATGGTTGGAGGCCGGGACTGTTCGCTGGTGGAGACAACAGGCACCGTCGCCCCCCTGCCTGGGCACCTGCACCTGCACAGCTGGACAGGAGGAGTCCAGCCCTAAAGGGGAATATCGGGGGACCAGCCCCGAAAGCCACGGATTTTCCAAGGCACTTTCTTTATTTAATAAGCTCAATAACCACGGGAAGGGAAAGCGCGAGTGTGAGATGAAGTTCATCTTCAAAGCTTCCCACGCCCTCTCCTCTCCTCCCACCCGAGCTTTGTTTTGCTCGGCCCTCGAGTGTTCCGCGGGGCTGGGAGAGCCGTTTCCAAGGAAAAAGAGATCTTTGAAGTCATCCAAAACGAGAGGGGAGGGATCGGCGAGAGCTCAGGCGCAGTCGGGTCCACAGGAGTTGTGAATGAGTGAACAAAGAGATACACAGGGGGCCAGGGATAGGGATGCCCCGACTGGCGGGCTGGTGGGAGTAGAGGGTGCCGGAGCGCGGAGACACGGCGTCCGAAAAGATCTCACTTCTCCGCCTTCGGAGAGGCTGGCCCAGGCACTCGAGGGGCGAGCGCAGCGGGCAGCCCCTGCCAAGGTCAGGGCCGCGGCTTTAGCTTCCTGTGGTGCCAGCGTCCGAGGGTCTCCAGCTTGGCCCCTGCAAAGCCCCGCAGTCTCGCGCACATTCTCATGGGATGGCCCCCAGAACAGCCAGGCTACACCTGCTGCACGAGGCGCTGCCGCTGGGAGGTTTTGCGCAGGAGCCTCCTGTAGTCGTAGGGATTGGCTGCGGAGTCGCTTTCCTCCTGCTCCTGGTTCTCCCCCGCCCAGCACCTGCAGCGAGACCCAGGGCCCGAGAGTGAGCGGCGCCCGCGCCGCCCCGCCCACCCAGTTAGGCGATTCTGCTCCTCCCACCTCCAACCAACTGCAGGCAGTTAAGAGCCACACATTCAAAACATCAGGATAGTGGACAAACGCAGCTGCATAATTTTCTCAGCAGGTTTTAGCACCTTAATTTTTTTTTTTTAACACATTTTGGTCAAGCAGGAAAATTCAAAGTGCCTAAATAGACAACCCTCGTTTTGCATTTTAAAACTGCTCAAATGTTTCTCCGAAGCCCTCCTCCCAAATCTGATCAACCACTGTTAGCTCTGGGCCCTTTCAGCTATTTCAAGGAGGCTGTTGGGCCGCCTTTCCTGAACCTACCGCTGGGAAAGTCTACCAACTTTACCTTTAGATTCTGCAACTTGACTGGGGAAAAAAGATGCTCCCTTATGCAGCCACATAGAAGCATTCATTTACTTATGTGGTACCTACTAAGTATTAGCCATCAGTGTAGGCTAAGGGTGAACAAAAGTCCCTACTCTATGGAGTTTAATCTAGTGTGGGAGAGGACCACTGACAACCTTAATATGCCAGGTGGTGAGAGATGCTATGCAGACAAGTAAAGCGGGCTAATGAGGTATGACTGTTGGGGGTGTGTGTGTCTTCCTGTACAAGCAATTTCATTGAGGGTGACCAGGAAAGGCCTCTCTGATAAGGTGACATTTGAAAAGATACCTGAAGGGATGAGGAGGGGAGAGCAGGCAGATCTCTTAGGGAAGAGAGGTCAGTCCAGGATGATGGGTCAACCAGCATTTAGGCCCCAAGACTACAGTATGTGTACTGTGTTCAAGGAACAGCAAGGAGGCCACCGTGGCTTGAATGAAGTAAG